AATTGAAAATGGTCGGCGTCTCTCCCCTTCACTTGTATTCCAATCGACTCACATTTTTATCACCCAACTAATAGGTTTTTTGGGCGTAGCCATATGCAGTACCAACTTTCTGAGTGTGCAAGGGTAGGCGTGTATGAAGCTATGCATGCACGGAAGAAAAACAGATTAAAGTATGTTGCCATCTTGATCATTTGATTTATGTAACCTTCTATCTATCTCGATTAGTTTTAGGTATTAGAAACTAATTACGGAATCCATTGTGAATTAAAAAGGGCTGTAAGGATATGCGTTTTTGTTATTGCGTATAAAGTTACAGTATCAAGGCCATAGTAAGCCTTCCCGCATATTCAGCAAGGTCATATGGAATTTTAAATGGAGAACATATTTAATCTACATATATAAATGCCACTCTCATAAAACCATCATCTCTATTGTCAAAATACTAGTTAGTTCATTTTCAGTTTCAGCTAGTTGCGAACTACAATATGGATGAATAAGGACATCTTAACCAAGCAAATGAATAAACCCAAACCTTCTGGCAAGTCACTACCGTTGGACCATAAACACTCTTCTCATTTTCAGTTAAATAAGGCGTATTTTCTCTTTGCTTCTTCTATCTTTAGTCCAGTCATTATAGTAAGTTCACCTCGGAATTCAGATACCCAGCTGTAAGTCTGTAAATACTTGTATATTGACACCCTAAAAGTTGTCTCAAAACCTACACATGGTAGGGTGTACGCAACTATTAAATTTCAAGGTCAAAGGTCACAAAATCGGTTTTTTGCGCTTTTTTTTGTAAATATCTCATTTCCTATGGGTTTTTTGCTATTGGTCTTAATTATCAATATTGTAGAGTACAAAATTCTCTACAAATTTTGTTTAAAAATTTTTTTCATACGGTGAACCGTTTTCGAGATAGAGGGCTTAGAGCGCGCGGTCACAGCATCACTTCAGGTCAACCGGTGCCTCCGATCAAAAACGCGCTATATATAGTTGATGAACTATCGATAAATCATTGATTATAAATATTTGTCAATTTTTATTAACTATTATATTATATTTTATCATTTTTTCCTAACCTATCCACTTTTTATTCAGTATTAATTTATTTAACAACACTTACCTGCCCATGAAATTGCAGAATTGTTAATGAAAATATAGGAATTATATTTGAATTTAAACCTTATTAATATTAATAACTTCTTACATGATAAAAATTTATTAAAAAATATCATTCAATACATTTCTTTTTATTAAAAGTAAAAAAATGGAATAAAGGGTACAAAAACTACAATTTATAATTTTAATCATCTTCTTCCTCTTCATCGTCGTCTTCCGGCTGCTGGTAATGTTGGGTATCTGAATTCCGAGATTCTTACCTAATTTAAGCTTAAATGACTGGACTACTTTGCGTTCTCAAACAATGCTAAGTCAAGCAATAACGAAGCAATTTAAAAAGGTTTAGTGTGAATCTTATCTTTCTAACTCCACATAGCGTAACACGATCGCAATTATACAACTCGAAATACGATTCTATATTCACATATTGGAATGGACTTCTTTTTACTATGTAACTAGACCACTATTTTCATAATGTAACAACCATTCAGCGTATAATCCGACGTCAGTGTATAATGATGTATCCATCGTTTTTATTGCGTTTATTAGGGCTAAAATCCCCACTGTTTGCCTTTTTGATCAATGGTTAAAAAGCCGGTTGTCAAAGCCGCCAAGTAAATATAAATTCGTGAATCCTTTGACCTAAGAGATGTTTAATTTACGAATAAACTTTATACACTCTGTTATATTGGAATGTGTTACATTTGTTAACAATTCTCTTGAATTAGGGTTGTTTAATTATAGGCGGACGTAATCCAATGATTAGCAGCTTTCTATTAGATGTTGATGTGAGATTCGCAATAATTTAATATAGGCAGACTGGCTGTTAGTTGTTTTCAATATAGTAAGTTGGGGTAATGTGGTATGGGTGGGCAATGTGATATACCACATATTTCACAAACTATACATGTTTTGACAAGAAGTTTTTTGCGAGTACAATAGTAACGGTAAAAACTGTTGCGGCAAGGCTACGCATGGTATTAAATGTTTCGTTTGCTATTAGTATGCAAAATGGTTTTCAGTAGTGCTGTATTTCAGTCTGTGCCTGGATAAACGATTACTCCAAGTTTTTACATACACATATTATATTTAATTTATTGCCCATTACTTTGGTTATTACGCAAATATATTTGATTATGATTCATATTTTTTTTTGAAAACTCAAGTTTGGCTAATGTGATATACTCAATGTGGTAGATTGTGATATAGTATATCACATTAAACACATGGTGTATCACATTTAACATATCCTATTAGTAAAAAAAGTACGTGTGGGGACTGCGCGGTAAAGCTATGGCATAGCATTTTGTATCAACTTATGCAATAATATTATAACTTTTTATTTATTTTTTATGCAGTATTTTTTTCTACTTTGATAATAATTCATGTTTTTTCTTTGATATTAATTCAAGTTCAAAAAGATTGAATGTTACTTGTGTTTCGCACCTTTGGATTATATTTGGAAGTGTCTCAAATAAACCCTGGGCGGCAATATTCAATATTTCTTTCAAGAACACTCCTAAAACCATAAAACAACATGAAGAGTCCAAATAGCCCCAATCCAATGGCTATTTGAGGCATCTAAATAAAAAATATATAAGTTATCCGTTAACTAAGACGGTAGATGCTGAACCGGTTAACTTATTAAAAAAAATTAAAAGGGATTTGCTACTTTAATAGGAAACATTCTAGATAAGATTCTTGTATAAAATTGTCCCAAATAGCTCCCTTTTTAGTTATTCAATCAAAAAATTTTAACAAAAAGAACGATGTTAAGAGTTTGTCTTCGGAATTCGCTTGCATTTGTGATAATAATAAGATGTATGTATAAACTTGTAGACAATCATTTTCTTTCACTATTTTTGCATCACTATCTTCACTAATTAATGCACTTTGTTTATATATATTTAAAACCTTTTATATACAAATTTTACTCGTACTCCCCGAACATGCATTCGATGGCAAAAGCTAAAAATCGTAAATTGAACAGCTTTCTGACGTTCCTTCTGGAAGGGAAAAGTGTCAACCCCTTAAACCCGCAAACACAGAAAAAATTGACAAATATGGCAACATAGTTCTTGTCGATTTAAAATATTTTACAATTCAAAAAGTTTTTTCCATGACTCGCAAAATCTGCGTCGATATAATATGTATTTCGCATGAATCAATTAGTGTACATATTTACATACATATGTTGCATGAAGACAGATATACAAACATTACACGTGTTTATTTTCGTTACGGAATTTCTTGATTCGGTTGCTGATAAAAGCTACGCAGTATCTCAACCTCGATGATAATTTTCATCACGATGCAGAGTATGTGTTATAATTAATATCACAATAAAAGTGCGCTAACATTGATATTTTAATATAAATTCTCAGAAACGTTTATGATGAAGAAGAGGAGTAAATACACCAAAAAACTTGAACAATATGTGATTTTTTCAAAGAAAAAAATAAAACAATTAATTTAAATGTATCACAATTTTTTTTATTTTTAATGCATTTTAAAAAAAAAATAATACAACGTTTTTTTTTTGATTTTTTTATTTAAAAAAAAATATTTAAAAAAAAATAGAAATATTGAAAAAATTCACTTTCCACTCACGGATTTGTAATCTACGCTTAAAAATAAGACGATTTAAAAAAAAAAATTCAATTTTGAGGCCTGCTTAGTTGGGGGACCTAAACTATACATTTACCTAAATTTTTATTAAATTCCACATTTTTATTTGCCAATAAGAAAATTATCTCTTAAATGATATTATTTTTAAATCACCCTGCTGTGTCGTCAATTGATTTGTTCCGCTTGAGATATCCGAAACATATGCCTAAAAGTGTGCAAACATTTTACGCATACTTTGTATTCAAGCAAACGATTTAAAATATTGTAGTTTACAATTCAAAAATATTTTTCCATGGCTCGTAAAATTTGTGTCGATATGTAATACCTATATGCAAGCTCATACATAAACAATTCGCATGAATCAATTAGTGTACATATATACAAACATTACGCTCATTTTCGTTACGGAATTTCTTGATTCGGTCTCCGCTCTCAAAGCCATCGATAAAAGCTAGCAGCTTTGGAATGCTGATGAAGTAACTATCGTACAAAGTATGCAGCCAAAAATATGTGCTGCAAAAAAAAAAAGACAAGTCGGGTATATGACATCAGTTGAAAGAGGATCTTTCATAACAGTTATAAGCTATATGAGCGCAGGGGGGACCTTTTCTCTACCATTCTGATGATTCCATATGAAAAAACCATATCAGCTTTTAATGAAACATTCT